AGCCAGGCACGGTGGCTCACACCTGTAATCCCAGCACTCTGGGAGGCCGAGATGGATGGATCACCTCAGTTGAGAAGTTCAAGACCAGGCTGGCCAACATGGTGAAACCCCATCTCCACTAAAAATGCAAAAATTTGCCAGGTGTGGTGGTGCACACCTGTAACCCCAGCTACGTGGGGAGCTGAGGCAGGAGAATTGCTCCAACCCAAGAGGCAGGAGTTGCAGTGAGCCAATATCGCGACACTTGGGTGAGACTCCCTCTAGAATAAAAAAAGGTAGGGCAAGAGGGACTATGTTTTCATTCCATACTTTTCTAATAACCTAATTTTACTTAATTTTTTTTTTTTTTTTGGAGACAGTTTTGCTCTTGCCGCCCAGGCTAGAGTACAATGGTACGATCTTGGCTCATTGCAACCTCCACCTCCTGGGTTCATGTGATTCTCCTGGCCTCAGTCTCCTGAGTAGCTGGGATTACAGGCACACACTACCATGCCTGGATAACTTTTGTATTTTTGGTAGAAACGAGGTTTCTACTGTTGACCAGGCTGGTCTTGAACTCCTGACCTCAGGTGATCTGCCTGCCTCTGCCTCCTAAAGTGCTGGGATTACAGGCATGAGCCACCATGCCCAGCCTCAACATCCTAATTTTAAACAACCAAAATCCTGACAAGCCTTTTAGCAGAGCCACTGCCAGAATTTCAAGAGACATTTTTTTATTTGAGATCCAGTTCATATTCCAAATTTATTTATAATGGGTGAAAATCTCAATGAAAACTGCATCTGGTTCTAAAGTAGAAAATACACAGGCACATTTGTGGACAGGGTTTTGTCTTTTTTTTCTGGCCTCAGCAGCCAAGGCTGTTAGGCTTTTGTCATCAATCCAACTATTCTCCCAGGGCCTGCCAGACTTAGGGCTGGTTAGGAGAGAGAAGAGGAAACACTTTGGGAAATGAGGAAATCAGATGAGTGAACTTTGCAAGGAAACTACATTCACTTACTTAAACGCCAATGCCTCTTCTATTCACTGTTTCATAATGTAATCGACCAGATAAAAACCTGTTGTTTTGGGTTTTCTTGGAAACAGCATCTCACTCTGTTGCCCAGGCTGTAGTACAGTGGCGCAACCTTGGCTCAATGCAACCTCTGCCTCCTGGGTTCAAGCAATTCTCGTGCTTCAGCCTCCAGAGTAGCTGGGACTACAGGTGTGGCCAACATGCCCAGCTATTTTGTATTTTAGTAAAGACCGGGTTTCACCATGTTAGCCAGGCTGGTGTCGAACTCCTGAGCTCAGACAATCTGCCCACCTTAGGCTCCCAAACTGCTAGGATTACAGGCATGAGCCACCATGCCTGGCTTCTCCCTGCCACTTTTTTTTTTTTTTTTTTTTTAATGAGACAGTTTTCCTCCATCACCCAGGCTGGAGTACAGTGCTGTGATTATAGTTCACTGAAGCCTCAAACTCCTGGGCTCAAGCAATCCTACCCCAGCCTCCCAAATAGCTGGTTTTACAGGTATGTACCACTGCACCCAGCTCAAGTTTGAAAAACCCAAAACTGTAGTTTTTAAAAATACAATCCGGGCCAGGCACAGTGGCTCACGCCTGTAATCCCAACACTTTGGGAGGCAGAAGCGGGTGATTACAAGGTCAGGAGTTCAAGACCAGCCTGGCCAAGATGGTGAAAGTCCATCTCTACTAAAAATACACACAAAAAAATTAGCCAGTGTGGTGGTGGGCGCCTGTAATCCCAGCTACTCAGGAGGCTGAGGCAGAAAAATGCTTGAACCTGCAAGGCAGAGGTTGCAGTCAGCTGAGACCACGCCACTGCACTCCGCCACTGCACTAACTGACAGAGTTAGACTCCGTATACCGTCTCAAAACAAAACAACAAAAAAATCACACAATCCAACCACTCATCTGGCCTACGGGTAAATGCACTCCCCATTTTACACAGAAGGATTTGGGGACATTTATCTTTCAGGACAACAGTGGTTCTCTGCGGGGGCAGTTCTAGGGACATCTGCAATGCATGGAGATATTTTTCATTGTTCTGACCTGGAGGATCCACTTCCTGGCATCTAGTGGGAAGAGGCCAGGGACGCTGCTAAGCTCCCTGCAATAGATAGGAGAGCCACCCAGGTGCAAGTTACCAAACGCCAACTGTGCACAAGTGGAGGCCTCCAGATTTACTTGTGGGAACCCAACCACACATTACTGTGTGAAGAACAATTTCCCAACTTCCTAGTCTGAAGAGGGACTGTTTCTGTCCCTTCTAGCTCCAGGCTCCCACTGAGATCTCCAATAAGAGAAAATAAAGACTATCAACTAGGAACAGCTCTTTAGCCCATTTCCAGATAATTACCTTGTATTAACTTCTTAACTGGAAAAGCTGGTCTATCTTTGCAATCCATGGCTGCAAATAAAAGTGTCAAAGGGTAAGTTGTTAAATGTTGCAAATAATAAAGTTAGCAAATACATATGTAGAGCCAATTATGTACAAGGTGGAGGCAATTCTGAGCCCTCTGACCTCAGGGGCCATGTGGCACAGTCTAGAGATGTTTTTGGTTGTCATAATGGGGGGAGGGTTGGGAGGGGTGCTACTTACATCCAGTGAGTAGAGGCCAGGGATTCTGCTAAATGTCCCACAATGAAATGCACAACACAGTGCACCACAACAGAGAATTATATGGGACAAAATGCTAATAGGTTGAGAAATGCCACCCTAGACACTGTCATGTCTTTTTATTTTCATTGTGGCATTTACTCTGAAACCTTCCTGTTTATTATGTGTCTCCCTAAACAAAATGCCAAGTCTTTGAGAGCAGAAAGACTTGTTTCATGGTGCACCTACGGTACCTGGCTTAGGGTCTGGAATCAACCAGAAAGCCAACTAAGAGAGTAACAGGAACCGCTTCATGAGATGAAAGTGGAATGACTAGAAGCAGGGATGAGAGAAAACATAGGATTACCTATTTCATTCACATGATCCCCAAACATCTTCCCCAACCCTAGCCCCTACACCACCACCAAATCTGTAAAATGAGAAAAGGATTCCTTTTCTTTTTAAAGATAATTCATGAGGGTAACACAACGTAAAGCACTTTGAGCTTGCCAAGCAGGAGCTGAAGTCCTGTCGACAGATAAGACAGAAACTTTTCCTACCAAAAAAAAAAAAAAAAAAAAAAAAAAACGAAAGAAAAGCATCTAATAATATCAAAGCAGATGCAGAAGTGACCATAAATAGAATCAAGTCTTTGGATAAATACCTTATGTAGTTAGAATAAGTTCAGAAGCTCACACTCACCCACTTACCACGAGATCTGGCTTGGAAAAATCTGGTTTAGTTATTTTGGTTAATCTACATATGTTTTGCTAAGCGTTACATAAAAGTGAGTGTTTTTTAAAAGCAGACTGGGGCTTCCTAAAAAACTCATCATCCATACATGAAACTATCCCCACCCACCATCCCAAGCCTGGTGAATAAAGAAAAGGTACTGAGAAAATTCACGTTTTCTTTCTAGCCATTTGAAGGAAATAAAGACAGTATCATTCTCAAGTTTTCAGTTACTAGAAGACATAGATTTCTCCTCCACCCCTCAACTAAAGGATATATGACCTTTAGTCACTTAACTTTATTTTCGAGACAATCACAAAGATCTATTTGTGTGGCCTTGAGTCACTAGCTTTGATGCAAGTGGAACAGAAACAACCTCATTAAACACAGGACCCCCACCCATTAAAAAACCTCTATATAAAATGGGACACCCCAATCCAGGGATCCAAAGATACACACGATTAACACATATGTGTGTATAAAGTTACTAACTGCTCTTTATTCTGCGATTCCATCCTTTCTAATTTTATTTGGCACTAAAATATACTTTCCTTTCATGGTAGTATGGTCCTAGTGAGTCGTGGGGTGTTTCTGGAAGACCAAGGCGGATGGATAAGTTGAAGTCAGGAGTCCGAGACCAGCCCGGCCAAAATGGTGAAACCCCGTCTCCACTAAAAAACACGAGAATTAACTGGGCGTCCTGGTACAGGTGCCTGTAATCCCAGCTACTTGGGAGGCTGAGGCAGGAGAATCGCTTGAACCGGGGAGTCAGAAGTTACAGTGAGCCAGGCAACAGAGCGAGACTCCATCACAAAAAGCAAAAAACAAACATCCTGGCAAACAAAACATCACCGCTCCAAGACAGTCCCGACGCCATTTCTATTAATTTTATATCTCTGTGAAATCCCAAAGACTAGAGGGAACTGTAGTCATGATCTTGAGGCAAGCGGGACTCTGTCGCCTACAGGACACGTTGGCAATGGCACTGTTGTTACGACTTGGGGAGAGGGGTGGCCCCTGGCTGGCAGGAAGCGGGGGCCAGGGATGCTGCTCAACACCTGCAGTGCCCAGACGGCCCCCGAATAGCCACACTGCTGAGGCTGAGAAACCGGATGCTGTCCATTCTAACCCTTCATTCGTTCATGTTATTTATTTTTTTTTTTTTTTTGAGACGGCGTTTCGCTCTTGTTACCCAGGCTGGAGTGCAATGGCGCGATCTCGGCTCACCGCAACCTCCGCCTCCTGGGTTCAGGCAATTCTCCTGCCTCAGCCTCCTGAGTAGCTGGGATTACAGGCACACACCACCATGCCCAGCTAATTTTTGTATTTTTAGTAGAGACGGGGTTTCACCATGTTGACCAGGATGGTCTCGATCTCTTGACCTTGTGATCCACCCGCCTCAGCCTCCCAAAGTGCTGGGATTACAGGCTTGAGCCACCGCGCCCGGCTTCATGTTATTTAATGAGCACCTACTACGTGCCAAGTGCTGCCAAAGCGTTTTACGCTGGAGAGTCCAGCAATGGAGAGGGGCAGGCTGGTGTTCCCTGGTTCACCCTCCCCCGTTTCGGGAAGCCCGCTGTGGGCTCCAAAGATCCCTCCCAAGGCACAGGGAGAAGAAAGTCACGGTGCCTCTCAGGCAGGAGCAAGACCTCGGGAGTCCCAGCCTCCCGGCCATCTCCACCATCCGGGCCTCTTCTTTCCCGGGCTTGCCCCGACCCGCCATGGCATCTGCCCCGGTCCCCGAGCCCGTGCGAGCTCGGGCCTCAGTTTCCCCACCCGCCTGCCGCAAGGTCCAACATGGTCAAGGGACATACAGGCAACCCAGTAACCTGCAAGACAAGCCCTTTCGATTCCCTGGGCCTCAGTTTCCCCTCTCGGCCCCTCCGACCCATCACCCCAGAGGACCCTGGAGGGACCAACTGACGCAAAAGCGCCGGAAACAATATGGTCGCGGCTACAACAATAACGTCAGGGAGGGCGCCCTTGGGGACGCCAGGCCCTCGCTGAGGATGAGAAGGCCCCAGGGAGTGAACGCCCCCGGCCCGCAGGACCAGGCTGGTTGTCCAGAGACCCATCCGCCCCCCATCGTCCCCTCGGCCCGCCCAGGCCGCGCGCCGCGCCCCCCCTTCCCTCAGCGCGGGCCCGAACCGACCTGCGACCGCTCCCCTGGCGCCGGGCGCCCCGCACTCCGGCTCCTCCAGCATCGCCCGGGCGGCGGCTAGAGTTTGTCTCAGGCGGCGGAGGCGCGGGCTCCCCTCAGGCGGCCGCTGCTCCTCGCCCTCCCGCCCGCGCCACTGCTGCAGCCGCGGCCGCCGCGCTCGTATTTGGCGGGAACCGCGGCGACCCCTGCAGTCCGCGCGCCAATTGGGCGATCCCGGGCCACGTGACGACCCGCCTCGGGAATTGAGGAGCGCCCGGGGCATCCTCGCGAGAGCCGTGACTTCCATTCCTCCCAGGGCTCGTCCATTGATATTTCCGCGGGGGCCGGGGCTTCCCCTCGACGGCCTGTCATTGGCTGGGAGGAGCTGCCCTGCGATTGGAGAAGGCACGTGTCAAGCTGATTGCTGTGCGCTGCGACTGGCTGATCGCGTGGGATAGTCCCTAAGAGGAGGGAGGCCCAGGCTCTTACGTCACCAGGAGGACGTTTTACGCTGGGCGCAGATGACAACCTGAAAGTGAGATTTAGGTGAGAAACCTGGAGTTTTGAGTTTATCCTAATGAGACATCGGCTAAATATAGCAAGAGAAATTAAAATTATAAATTCCTTTTTTTTTTTTTCAGATGGAGTATTGCTCTGTCGCCCACGCTGGAGTGCAGTGGCGCGATCTCGGCTCACTGCAACCTCCGTCTCCCGGGTTCAAGCGATCCTCCTGCTTCAGCCTCCGGAGTAGCTGGGATTACAGGCGCCCGCCACCACTCCCGGCTAATTTTTGTATTTTTAGTAGAGACCGGGTTTCACCATGTTGGCCAGGCTGGTCTCAAACTCCTATCTTCGTGATCCGCCTGCTTCTGCTTCCCAAAGTGCTGGGATTACAGGCGTGAGCCACCGCGCCCAGCCATAAGT